GTGCCATTTCCGCGGCTTACGGCTCCCCTTTTTTCTAGAGGGACCTTGGCGGTAAAAATGAAATAAAAGGTTTACGTTTAAAGCAGGTAGGGGGGAAAGCAGATCCCTAAACCTCAGGATCAGGCTTTGCCAGCTCTCACCAAGGGACCCTCAGAAGAGTTCCGGCTAAGTCAGCCTTGCTAGAGACCTGGGCAAGTCCTGCAGCCTTTAGGGCAGGCAGGGTGCCTCCCTCGCCTCGCACCCAGCGACCCCTGCCTCCCCTGCGGCTGCCCCGGCTTCACACTGGGCAATGGAAAGATGGTGTTCACTTCTCCCAGCCGGACACACACTTCTTTGGCCCAGGGAGGCTGGCCTAAGAGGGGACAGCAGGCAATATTTTTTTGTTTAAAAATACTATTACAGGTCTATAAGCAATGCCATAGGCTAAAAAAAAAAAAAAAATAACAAAAAAAACCCCAAACAAACACCCAAACAACTGAAATCAGGCTTCCCAAGATCATCTATGATTTAAACCTTGCGAAACTCGGATATAGAAGTTTGGAGTCAGTACTGTTAAAATTATCAGTTTCTTCTCATCTACTTAAAAAAAATTTAAAAAAAAAAAATCATCCTAGGATTCTCAAAGATTCAGTCTTTAGTATTAGAAAAAAAAAAACAACTGCATAAAGAATGCAACTATATACAAGGAGAGTCATCATCGGATCACAAGAGTGTGACCTCTATCTTTTGGAAGCCAAGGGGTAACCCTAGGTCTGCAAAGCTCACCATGAGCTGCAGGCTTCATTTGAGGTTTGTGTAGCAGGCACGCTCCATATGTGTTTCTGTGGGGGAAGTCTATCTGTTCATCAACCAATATATTTATTTAATTTTTTTTTAATTATTATTTCTTATTTTTTTATATGTAGACAGAGATGAGAGACAGGCAGTGTGCAAAGCTTCTCATGTTCTTTTTAGCCAAGACTGTGGGTGTAGTTTGCTCTATAAATTTGTTTCAAAAGGCCTAGATTAATGGAAGAGTTGGAACACGTTGTTGTCATGATGAGATAACAACTCTGGCTGAAGCTCAAGTATAAAGATGGTGAGATAACACCATCTGACAGCACCAAATGATGTTCAGCTCAACTGAAAATTCTCAACTCAAAAGCCCAGCTGAATAATATGAATAATTGAATGCACAAAACTTATGGCTTAAAATAAACACCACTGAAGTTTTTACAGTCAATAAAACCTTAAGCCATTATTGATTTAGGCAGTACACTGTGTTTGCTTCAGTATAGTTATAGTGTTTCTGTTTTTAGGGGAAGACTGGTTGCCTGGCAGTGTTACCTGGATATTGCAAACACATACACTTCTTAAATTTCAAAGCAAAGAAATAGGTTAATATTTTGACAATTATCATTTAGCTATTTGCAGAAAATTTTGTGGAGATATAATTAATATTCAATTCTAAATAATAAAATAGAAGGAAACAATCTTTCCTAGCTGTTTACAGAAGTAAAAACACTGAAAAATTTTACAAGTACAGGGGAAGAAAGTCAGTAAGTCAGAACTTCATTCTTCTTTATCTTTACAGGGAATAGACAAGAGCCTTTAAAATTCCAGAATAAACTTTTTTGCATACACAATCCACTCGTTATAGGCTTCCATCTGAGCACTAGCATTCATACCTAGGAGTTGCAGTCTCAGGCTCTTAAGTAATAATTACAAGATTTTAAAGAATATTTTGAATAGATTCCTTCTTATTAGACTGAACCACTTCCTGTGCCTATGATGTCATATTTTTAATGAACAAATAATTGTAATGCCAAAAAAAACCCAAACAACTGGAAGTGTACCCAGTGCTCAGCATGTTCAAAGATCAATTTGCAAAGCAGGTCCAATACTGGAAACTTCTCCATTTTTAGTAACTGACATAATTTCTAGCCTCTTGAGCTTAAGACTTTCACAGTAAGCTAAGATGCTGCCAAGCCAATATGGTGATAATTTTCAAGATGCTATGGTAGAGATTAAGTTTAGTTGGAAGTTTGGTTTATTTTTTTAAATAAACCACAACATTTTCTCAAAACTGCACTATGTGGAGCAATGGCTGGAATCTGTAGTGATTCCTGAGATAGTCCACATCCAGTTCTTGTTTTAGAACTGATGCAGTTTTAATGCAGAGAAAGCATGAGTGAGCCTTACTTCGAATGGGATCCGTAAAGAAAAGTAAATATTTTTAATTTCTTATTTCCCTCAGGTTCCAAATGTTTTAACTTAATACAAGAGAAAAATTACCCCCTGACAGCAAGTACAGTCAGGCTTGAGATCACTGGCTTGATACAAACATCTAACAGCAAATGCAGGATGTTAAATCTGGCTTCTAAAGGAAGAATAAAGCCTCTGAGGCAGATGAACTCTCTGCACTCAGTAACAATGTTTGTCTATTATAAAATATAATCACAGCATACAAAAGCACAGAAGTTTAGTTTTGAGATATAAACTACAGCTTTATCTTCTTCTCAATCTGACAGTCTTTCCACATTTATTGCACTGTTATCATTATCATAAAAATCCAGATTCCTGAATAAATGTAAGTTAAAAGGAAAGAGAAAGAATTCTCTAAAATATGGGCTATTTAAGCCTTCATACTGACCACATGTAAATACAGGAAAAAAAAAAACAGTGAAAGCTGCCAGGTTTCCTGCAACACTAGGAAGGTAGATGACTCTCAAAAACAGTGTCCATACTTAATCTCTGTCTTTCAAACCATAGCAGCTGAAAGATAAAAACTGAGTTGTGGGGTGGGTTTTTTGAATAGTTTTTTCTCTCTATGATGATAAACATCAAAATTTTCTCATTAATCTCATTCTTGGGAAGAAAAATGCTTTGTGGGAAAATTTCAAGGGTCTTTCTTGCATTGCATAAAAAATGCTGTGTGTCTGTCAGACCTTAAATAAGTGAAATTCAGCATCATTCTGTTAAAATAATCAGAGTAACAGCCTTTGACATTAGAGAGCCCATATACTGTCAATTTTAGTTAGCTGAGATTTTGTTCAGACCTTATGCAAGCCACAAAATAGTCAGTCTCCCTCAGAGCAGGGAAAGAATAAAAAGCCATCCAAGCAGGCACCAGTTAGTCACAGGAGAAGGCATATTCTCCCCAAATTAATTCGAATTATCAGTAACTCAGGGGTTGAACTTCAGATAACAAGTTTAAAATAATGTGATTCAAGGAGCTCTGGCCAACTTGTAAACAGAATATTTCATTTATCAGAGCTGTAATCTGTCTTCTCTGATGATTCTTAGCACCATCTCTCTAAAGAGCTGCAATGCCCCATGTAATCAGTTTTATAAAGTTATTATCTTAATGAAAAATTTTGGTTTCGCAGTTGGACAACGTCCAAAAGTAGATTTATAGGTTAACCAAAAAACCCCTAATCTGTTCTCTAAGTCAAATTCACATTGGTATTAAGGTAGTTTTATGTTGCCTTTTAGGCCCACTGAAAGTTCTTTCACAGCAGAGGAGGATGTATGATCTTCCTGAACCATCTCCTCTGAATCCATGTAATTTTGGGTGTAGTTAGAGCCTGTTCAGAATTATTATATATGCTAGAAATGACTGAGTACATTTTTAGTTCAGCAATGGATTCTAATGCAATTACAAATACTTCATTCCTTGCAGACATGCATTAGATTACTTTTACCTCTGTGTCGAATCTAGCAAGACCTACAGGCTCACTCTGCAAGTGCATTATTTTTCTAGTATCTATTTCTGTTTGTACCACAACTGTTCAGCAATACAGGGAATATACTGACAGTACTGCCTAGAAAATAGGGAGAATTAAATTTTTAAAGACTGGTGATACCAGAACAGAGAAGGCGTTTTGTCTTCTGCATCAGTTTATGGCAAACTGAAGATTGTCAAAATGAAGTTTTTGTAGATGAATATTGTTTGTTTCACCCCTTTGAATTGTATGCCTAAAATATGTGAAGAACATTATAATCTGATATCCTATATTTCAACTAGCTTTAAAAACATACATTCAATGGGTTTAGTTTCTGCTTAGCTGTTAACTCATATGCTGTTTATACTTAGTGAAAAAAAAATTTCTTTCATTATATGTATCCTTAAAGGAGAGATTAAATAATAATCATGTCAGCGAAAATAAAATTTTAAAACTTTGCTTGAAACAAACTACCAGAGAGATATAAGTGCATTGTGCAAATTAGAGTGAATAAAAGATTTTCAAAGCAATATAGAAAATAACGTGTACAGTTTAATTTCATCTATAAAGGTATAAGTAATAATTTAAGTCATGGTGTACCTCAACATCTTTTAACACAATGGTGTCATTAAAGTAGGCATCAACGACAAGCAGGTGCAATAGGAATAAAACCTATTAAGAAAAAGAGATGTCATTACTTCTAAATGAACATGATTTTTGGATAGAGGATTTAGTGCTTGAAAAAAAAGGATTGAAATGTCAGAAGTGGCCTGCAGAGCACTAGAGCTGCGGATGAGATTTCACACCACTGAAATTTTAATCAAAAAGGGTTAATCAAGAGTTATGGTGAAAACAGGTGATCAGATGCATAGAAATAAAAAGAGAAGTGATGAGAGAAAACAGCAAAAAAAGAGACAGTGTGCGAAGAGAAATGAATCATGTCATTTTGACAAAGAAGTCTAGTAATATTATTAGGGATTTAAAAAAAAAAAAAGGAGAAGCGTGCATCTTGGGGTTAGCATCATTCAGAGGAGTGAGACCCATCCTCTGTGTTCTGCACTAAGGACTAACTCACATGCTGATATGTTTATTGCTGTATTCATATACTGTGCTCTGGGACCTGTGCCATCAGCACAATAGTTTGTGGTTCCATCACTCAGAAAAGATTTTAAACACAAGCTACTGACGTGGTTCAGTCTCCCCCATTTGTTATTCACTCCCAGTAGACTACGGGCTTTCCTCTTAACTGAAAGTGTTGAGAATGCTCTCATCTGATGTGTTCCATCCAGGCGCCATCGCTGCCCCCATAAACCCACGAGGATTTACGGTGACGGACAAGAGCCGTGCCTCACAACGGAGTATGTGGAAAAGTACCCCACCTACAGCAACGTCTCTCCTCCACGGAGCCTTAAGCCAAAGCAAGAGTACCACAGGCATCGTGGGAAAATGGAAGGAATTACAACATTTAAGTAAACAGTTTGAAGCAATGTGTTTCATAATTACTCTATGAAGTTTCTCATGCTCTCTTAAGAGGGACTGAACACTACTGCAGTCATTTTCAAAAGGCACTCCTTACATCCTTTGCACTTGTAGCACCTTTAAAAGGATACATTTTGAGTGTAAAAACAGTTACCCCAGAAAACTCATAAAACATAGCAAAGCACGCATACAACAAGATTTTCTTTCTTTACAGCATCCTTTAACCTGTAAAGATAATCTAAACACTTTGCCCTTGTTTTCAGCCCATTTTGGAACTCTAGGTCTCATCAAGCCTGGAAAAGCTGGCAAGCTGGGAAGCTTCCTGTAGTGCATGCACAGAATCTGAGATAGTGGGAAAAAGAAACCTTAAGAAAAAGAAACAGGGATATTTTTTTCCAGACATAGAAAGGTCAAATGCAATTCTGCAAGATTGGTTGTGTATCACATCTACTGTTTAAACAACTACATGTGTAATATACACCCCTTTTATGTAATGTGCCATATAAAATCAGTGAAATGCTGTTTCTGGTTATCTTCCATTCTCCTCATGCAATTAGTAAATACTGCCATTTGTAGTAGTTTGATCTCAGCTCTGCTTCTGCTTTCTGCATCATTTCTTTGTAAAATTACAGCAACTTTTTTTAGTCTCCTTTCAGTTATTCTGAAGAATATTTTTAAACCAGGAATGAGACATCAGAGTGTTGAAAAAATTGCTTCATCATCTACCTTTGAATAAAGTCTGTATCATGCATCAGAGACTCTAGATTTATGTACTATGATTTTCTTTCCTCCTTGCTATCCCTCTAACATATGGCATCAGATTGATTTTTCAGAATAAATAAGTCATTGTTTTTCCATATAATGGAAAAATGACAAAAGTCATTAGAAAGAAATTTTTTAACCAATGTTTCCTTTTTTCCCAATTCAGAGCTGATTATTTACCATACGATATTGTGAAGCGACCTTTCCAGGTACAAGAAGAATATAAACCAAAAATGGGAGAGATAGAACTGGGAACCACATACCAGAAAGATTATAATGCTCATAAAATACAACCAGTGACATTAGTAAGACCTCTAGAGAGAAAACACACTACAAGAGGAAAATTGGATACCATACCAACCTATCAAGGTAATAATATATGCCACCTTTAGAAATACCCAAGATGAAGGTAGTGTTCTGAATTATTGATACTAGAACCTGGATTTCTTAGTTTGGGCCAGAGATTAAGACATAATGGAAAGCAGGTGATAATGCCTTAAAATGTTCAGCACTCCAGTGGTTTGGAGGTGACATTTCTTGGTTCTAAATAAAAAGCCTTCTCTAACGTTTTCTTGCCTAGAAGGAGAGAAATTCTAACCTACACTTGGTTAGGCTACCTTAGGCAAAAGTTGGTTGTGATTAAAGTGCCAGTATATCTTTCAGATAGTCTTAGCTCGTGTAACACGTTTTTCCACCAGGCAGGTGAAGAGTTGATTTTAGCTTTCTGCCTTGTGTACCGTATAGTTGCACATCATTCTACTAATGACCTGTTTTGACATAAATTATTCTCTTAAAATGGACTGCACAAAGGCAGTAAATCTCCTTTTAAGTCATTCTGGCATGTGACCTTAAGATACTTCATACCAGTAGAAAATTTTATACATAAATGTGTTACTGAATTTGTTACATGTACTGCATTGTAGCCCCAGTTAAAAATAAGTAGAAATAAATGATGAGAGATGATCTATTAGATGATGAATATCAAGATGTTCCTGATTATGAGGGCCAGTGGTCTGGAAAATATAGTTGAAATAATGAGAATCAGATACGGCTACTACAACAGGAACTTAGAATGCTTGGTGCAAAGTGAGCAGAGAAGAGAGTGCAGTAACAGGAAGAGCTGGAAGGATAAAATTTGGGAAAAAAAGTCCCTTCAAAAAACCCAGTTATAATTCATTAGATTCTATAACCTTAGGTCTATTCTAGATAGAAATCCATTTATATAAACACATTCTATTTATATTTAATTCTAAATAATTTATAAGGAAATTTAAATTATACTATTTAGCCCAGCCTCAGCATACAGCTAAAAGCATGCATCTGCTTCACTTAAAATCCACGTTAGCTGCTCAGCAGAGAGTAAGGATGAAGTGAAAACACACTGAAGCAAGTACAGTGACTGCATGACAACAAATATGTGTCACCTGCTTGTGAAGAAGTTTAGACTGGACAGCAATTTTTGTAACTATACCAGATCAGTCTTTTAGTAAAAAAAAACCAGAAGCAAACAAAAAAAAAATCCCAGCAAGCTTTAAGATGATGCAATGTTGACATGGAAATTAAGAGAGAACTCTGCCAGCTAGCAGTGAAAGTGACCCATTGACCTATAAGGTTCCATTCACTTTTGGATGTTGAAATGCTGGGGTCTGAACCCCAAGCCCCTGAATTAAGGTTGACATATGGGTGATTCCCACAGCCCTTCATCCAGAGGGGTGAGTTTGCCTTAGAGCTTCCCCCCAGGGTGCGGCCGGCCCTGCAGGGAGAGCCAGAAGGGAAATGAGCCCCAGGGGTCCTGCAGTGAGTTGACAAAGGTCAGGGGTCTGCTTGGGGATAAAAGCTGGGACCACTGGCAGGGAGTCAGGAGTGTCTGTC